TGATTGTTTGTAATCGATTAATTGTAATCAATATTTTGTTTGTTTTAGGAAACACAGATGTAAGTGTCACGAAGAAATACGGAGAAAGAAGAAAAAAGAAGGAGTCGAAGAGACGGCCAGGTGTAACAGATGAGGTGAGCATTTTATTAATCTATTTATTAATTGTTAAAAAATGAAAATAATTATTTATTTGCGCAGCATGTCGTTTTCAGATCACTGTACGTAATTGTGTATTAAATGTCTAATGCATTGTGTAATAATAATGAAATATTTTAACGGCTTTTCCGTAATTTGATTGTATATTACATCTCATACGGTCGTATTCCACTCCGTTTGTTATTTTTCGAAGAACTTCCTGAACTGGTGCACTAGTGCAATAAGTTAGAGTGAAACAAAATATACTTGTCTCACTCTAACTTATTGCACCATTTCAGGAACTTCTTCGAAAAAGAAGAAACAGACTTACTTATTTTACTTATTTATTGTTTAAAATATTTTGGCTTAAATTTGGAGATTTTTTTAAATATTTAATAAATTATATTTATGACTTGTGATTAATATTAATAAATATATATAAAATATTACTTGTTAATATATAAAATATTTCTAAATATTTATGAATAATTAAAATTTATAGTACAAATTATATTAAAATTGGGATAATAGGATATTTATTTCAGACACTATTTTTATTTGAATATTTTTATATGTTACAGATCAGTCTTGTAGACATATACTCTGTTGTGTGATGTAAAAGAAGGGGTTTAGATGGAAGAACCTCAGAGGAGGATATAAGGAGGCCTCGAGAGGTATCGGACGCCGGTGGAACAACTTTGCGGTAAGCTATTGCTTTATACTTGCGTAAAATTAGCCGTTTTGTTTTAATTATTTAAAAATAATAATTAGAGAAAAAATTTATCTAAAATTTTATAAAAATTTATTCTTATGCAGAACTTTTTTGAAAAATTTATAATTTAATAAATATTTAATAAAAAACCATTAAGAAATTCTATATGCATATAAAAAGTATTTTATAAATTATTGATTATTTTGAACGCCGTTTTAATTTGACTCTTATGTTTGTATATTACAGATCGTAGCTACAACGTGGCTGACAACTGTCTACTGTCGATCGGTGAGTGACAAAAAGTATTAATGAGATAACGGATTTGTGAAAATTTTATGAGATATATATTTACGTATCATTATAATTGTATTAAAAATAAATGCAGAACTTCATGTATCCGTTATCTTAAAATGGATAAGCTATAAAGAATTGACAGATATTTCATTTCGGACTCGTTTTGCATTATTTACAAATTTGGTGTGCTAATATGCTTAGAGCTACACTTGTACACGTATATACAGAGAAATACAATAAATAAAAATTAATAGTTATTTAACTATAAAAATATTAATAGAATTATAATGAGAACTCGCGAATACGTCTCAAAGTTATTGAACTGTACTTATTGCAAATACATTAAAATAATATAATGAATCTTTTAACTTAAAAGAATTTAAAGTAAATTTTTTTTCCTAGGCAATAGAACTCATTGTTAGATAATAAAAATAAAACCATACTTATATCTAAAATTGTATCTTAATAAAGATAAATAGTTTCATACATATTAGAAAAAAGTATGCTGGCAGCAGAAGGAGTATTTCTCCTTGTTATTGATTTTTGGTGTTGTTGATATAAAGCCATGATACGGCCAAATGTTACAAAAAATGAGTCCACTCTGGCTCAAAAACTAATATTCATGAAAAATTAGAATGTGAATAAAATTCCATGTGTTCGAAAATTTATCAGTATTAAAAGATTTGATATTATTTGTATCTACTAATTAATATTATAAGTTAATTGATTAGTTTCTGGAACGCCGTCGACATTTTTCTCAATTTTTGCGAGTTCTTGATACTGAACTTTCTTCCTCGCATCTTGTCGTCGTTGTTCGTCTTTCGTTATGACGGTCAAAATGAGACCGAACAGTAAAACCAAGCATAAACCGATGTGCACTGGAATATCACCGTATGCGTTCAGTAATAATCCAAATATTATAATTTGTGTAATGCCGTAAATGCTAGTCGTTATATTGAGAAATGCTGCGGGTATATTTTCCGATTCTGGGTATGTAAATTCGATGCTCAAGTCAAATCCCAACGCCAGATATCCCGACATGAAGAATCTGAAACAAATGATACCAAAAATATAATATAGATATACTGTTATTCCCTAAAGAAACATAATAGAGAAGATAATGTTTAAAATATAAATTATATTAAATGCAATTATACACATTTTACTAAATTGTCAAAAAATGAACTTTTGTTATTTACGTGTAGTTTTACACAATACATTTTTTAAATTATTAGATTATAATTTTCCAATCGCGTATAAATATATAAATGTCGATACGTTACCCTAAGAAAATCGCTGAGACATATACCATCCACTTTATGCCAAGGCATATAGATACCGCGAATAGTATTTGACCAAATAATGAAAGAAAATAAACTGTTACGGCAGTTTCTCTGGAAATATAAATTATTAGTCAACGTTCCTAACTCATGATTTATAATAAAGTAAAGATACATTTTTAAATTGGATTTCTAACACAATTGTAAATGTCTTTCTTACTTAAATTTATGCGTCTTATCAAGGATGATACCGAAACTGACAGAACCGGCCATACCGGTCAGAGTTATAGCTAAGCCAATTCTGCCTGCATCTTCTTCTCCGTTCTAAAACATATGCGCAGTATATGCATGTATGCCATAACTTTAGATACATGTACAAAATATACGAAAATATCTTTAGATTTGTTGTTTACGTAAATTCATAATATTTGTTTGAATTTCTCTTTCTTTTTATGTTTGATCTGCTGCATCATTGAGATTCACTGATGGCTTACCACGAAGTGTGCGAGGAATATCTGATTGAGTAATGTAGACACGGCATTCAGAACGCCGTTGTTCAAACCGTAGGAATTACACAGCATAATGAAGTTTTTGTGTTTGCAGAGTCTCTTAATTGTCATCGCAAATTCCTCTTTTTTCTTCGTCCGACTCATTTTTTGCAGCGCCCGTGTCTCGCTTGGCGGTAATTTCGGTTCGTCCTGAAATACTGACGCGAAAGCACATTGAAAAGATTAAAACGAGATAATCTTTTCTGGAACGTGAGCGATCTCTTTAATTAACTAATAGTTTATCCTCTTGCAGTTAGCTAAGATATATAAAAATAAGCCCGAATAAAGAGACCGAGATTAAAGTGGATTATCGGCTGTATTGGAAAATTTAGTTACGTTGAAAATTTGATAGCTATATTGAAGAATAACTTTCTGTAATTAACCTCTATAAAGGATTATTTTAGTTTAACGGATATCAATAATGATTGTTTAAAAGCGACACTTAAATCTCATTTATCTTTAACACATCAACGAGTAAATAAAGATACAAATTTTATATTATTCTATTGAGTTAAAGAATGGCCTTTCATACATTAGAAGATTATAAAAAATCTAGAAAAATATTTTTTACGTCAAACTCGGATCTGTGTTATACATCACAGTAGATAAGAATTATAAATACTTATATGATTGGCAAATATACTATTATACTTGCTGTATTTGTAATAGATTATGAACTCACATATAAGCACTAGAGCAAATGCAATCGTGGCGACGACTGCAACGATCCAGCATAAACGTGACAAATCTTTGCCAATGTCATCCAGGCTCTCGTGGTTCTTCACTATTATAGGCCCTAAGAGAAAACCCAATGATATTCCCAGTTGATAGCCGAAAATACCCAAAGACGTAGCGGTCGAGTGCTCAGTAAAAGGAAACCATTGCGCGGCTATGCGTCCTGGTAACGGCAGGACCATAGTCTAATATGAAATAAAGTAATTACTATTCTCTGTCCGTGGCAGAGAATTACAGAGTAATAATGGGATAAGGATATAAAAAAAAGAAGAGAAAAAGAATTAAGTCGTAACGGTCAAGATTTTTTTAAGAAGATTAATGGGGTAAATTAAGAGATGTATGTAACCTGGGCGAGCGCGACTACCGAATGACCGACGAAAGCGACGTGAAACCTATCAGGTTGAACGGAAAAGGTTTTTATCCAGGCACCCAAGCAATTTAAGCCGGTGCCTATGATAAGGGTCCGTCGCAGACCACACCTGTCAGTCACATACGACGCTGGGAATATAAACACCGCGTAAAATGCCATGAACGACATCGAGGTCCAGTCAACCATCAAGGAAGACACTCCATAATACCTAAAAAATATACAAGAAAAGTATTGATGTGTTTACGTTCAAAACCGTTCTTATTTTAAGGAAATAGCGATACCTAGTGACTATGTTAGTTATAATCGAGTATTCTATCCATTGAGAAGAGTTCGATCCAGTATAAATCATGTAGATGGCCAGCATTAGCCATCTCTTTTTATACACTTTCAATTTTAGCGGTCCGATGTCGTCTAGTTCTTCCGATTTTGTTATTTTTGTCGAGTCTTTTGTCGCAAGTGTCTCGCTCAAACTTCTATCTTCCACTATCGTCATTTTCACTCTTTTGCTAAATAAGTTTTGTAAATATCTTTGACATTGTTCGGGAGCCGATCTCGACGAGATCGTCCTAATTGAAATGCCGGGATATGCTCAGAGATGAGCGCGAAGACAGTCGGTTGCGCGAATCCTCAGATTCGCTGAAGGATCGTGAGCGGGAGAAAAACTTGAGATAACTCGTGTCGTTATTAACAAAAACGTTTATTTCGTGCACAAGGTGGAGCAAGGCGACGCCCGGAGAAATTCGCGTACACGCGGAGATCTTCCTCGCGAGGCCGAGGGCGATCGCGAAAATGATACGGGCGTCAGCTCACCAACTCAGTATTACCGCACGCAAACAATTTTCAATCTTAGAATCACAGAACAACGCACGACACGACACTTTATCAAAGGTCGTCAGCTATCGTACGAACGAGCCGACGATTCAAAGTCTTCTGCCGGCTCCGAGACTCTCCATTCGGCGGTCGCGCCGTGGAAAAACCGGAGAATACACTTATTCGGCCAATCACGCGGAACGTGACTCTATTTTCAAGCTTTAGTTTTTGATTATAGGGTTGCTAATGCTCGCGCGTCGAACACGTGTTCCTTTCGCGAGGCGGGGTGCCTCGACGAATAATCGCGCGCGACGCTTCTCGAGGCGCATGATCACGGCTCACGACGTTACCGGGCTGCGCATATCGAGAGTTTATAGTATATTGTGCACCAAGGGGAGAAAGCAGCGTTTTTCAGACGAGTCTGAAAAAGCTTTCGACCCGAGATGCACACGATATTTTTTACAACTCTTTTATGGAAAGTTCGACTTCCATGCCTAGAGAGGGGCGAGAGTGGCCATTTCACGCCAGGGCTTACTTTCCGCTCGCTATGATGCCGCCCTGGCGTGAAATTGGTCACTTTCGCCCCTCTCTACAGGCATAAAAAGTCGAACTTTCCGTGGAGGTGTTGTGAAATAGTTATTTGTGTAACAAGTCTCGCCTTCGGCTCGTGCGTAAGCTCCGCACCCGGGAATTTTCATCTTTACACACGACTTACACTCCCTATTTTATGTTGCAAGTGCCTGGAAAGTGGTCTATCACGCACGCGTAGAGCGTAATGGGGCACTTTCCATGCACGTGTTGCATAAAATTGTATAACAAATAATATAGATAATAGATATATATGTATTTTGTTTTGACTTTCAAACAGACATGTATACCTGTTTAAGTTTGTACTTTTCTCGAATTATCTTTTCGATAAATGCCAAAATATTTCATTCCGAAATTTGTATAGTACCTACTACATCAAATTGTACAATCTTATAATATTAATTACACTGTGAAAAATTTCCTTATCAAATCTTCAATAGCGCGGCACAATTTAGAATCGTATTTCACGTTTCAAAATTCTTCACATTTCTGGCGAATTGATTTTAAAATGACGCGGTGATAAATAAATTGATGTTGATTAAAATTGAGATGAAATGTAACTGCGTGTCAAGTAACATCTCCGTTGCAAAGTCAGGTTCATCTAATATCATGCGACAAGTTTATCTTATCTGATGTGTATAAACAGATGTGTCGTGCCGTAAAATGGATCTCATAGGCCGGCACCGGGGTTCGTCAATCCGCAGGGAATAAGGTCAACACTCGCGAGATTTCTTAACACTTGCTTTTTTGTTAATAAAGTTGATTCTTAGTTACACTCGTTGCCAACTAGGATAGCTTCCGAGTTGGTGTCGACACCCGGCTGTCAGCGCTTTTGTTTCCAAGATCGGGTTGCATCGGTCCGTGGCCGAGCGACCTGGTCATGCTCGGAATGC